TGGTCTTATTGAACCAATATGAAAGCCAGGAACTGCTGGGTTATGTGGCTCTCAGACCATGTCCTTCCACCTGCCTGTCCTCCCTGCTGACAGCTGGAAAGGACTGGAATAGGAAGACTACAGGTTTGGCTCAGGGGACTACAACAGCTAGTTCTGGGAGTGTTAAAGGATGCACATCCAAGATCATGTATTGCTTTCGCTTCTGGCAGATGCATTATTTCAAGAAAATAATTATTTACAGCTTTCTTTTCAAGATGGTGCTGTGCGAAACAGCACCGTTTCATTTTGATGGGACAATGTTTCGTTTAGAGTTTTGTTTAGTTTCAAAAGCACTGTTTTGTTTAGTCTTGTTGAAACTTTTGCTGTTTCAGTGCTGTTTCAACATTTCACCCATAGGCTATAATGGGGAAGCATGAAACTGTCTATAATTTTGTCATTTCTTGTCTGATTCAGGTAAGAAATATAGGTATGATAGCCCCTGCTGAGGCCATGAAGCCTGCCAAGTTTCAAGGAGATGGGTACAGGGGTTCCCAGGAAACTGCATCTCAAACTGTTCAGAGCAAAACTTTTGTCACTTAAGTGTGAAAGCAGAGAAAGCTCAGTTCAAACATTGTTTTTTATGCTGTTTTTCTGTCCCTCTGCTAGAGCACTGGGATTGAAAGGGACCTCAGGGAAGGATCACAGTCATTGGCCAGCTACACAGTCAATATCAGAGCAGTACTTCCCCTCCCTCTCAGTTTCTCTTTAGCTGCAAGCAAGCCCAGCTTCGAAACTCAAAATGTTTTGAAACTTTTGAAATGTTTTGACTGCCCTCGTTTCATTTCGAGGCTGTTTTGAAGCCTTTCGTTTGTTTCAATTTCATTGTTTCGACCTCAAAACGGGTCGAAACAGCATCAAAACAAAATAGATGGTAAAATTTCACACAGCCCTAATAGCTGTGTAGCGTACATATCAGTGACTAAGTGTAAAATCTTCACAAGATTTTTGTATCATCTTAAAACAACCACAAAAAAAGGTCATAGAAAATTCAGTTAAAGTTTGGATAGGCAAAAGATAAGGAAATTCATACTTCAGGCACCTAGCCTTAAGCTTGTGGAGGTACCATGCACCATGCAAACACTTAAGGCATATCACAAAAGTAGTCTTTTTTAACAGTTCAAAACTAAAACAAAACTAAAAATCTACAGACACAACAACACTTGTTGAGACATTAAGGCTCTCAGTATTCTTCTTCCTGTTGTGTCACTAAATGCAGGAGTTAATCATTTAGTGCTCTAACTTCACATTTGCTTAACAATAGGAATTTAGTTATTTCTTAAGTTTGGTTCATATTTTTAACTTCAGTTTCTAGTTGAAAGTAGAAAGTAGCTTTCAACCCAACTCAACTCCTAGGATCAGAGATGTGGGGTGGAACATTTTCAGGAAATTTTCTAGTGCTTTATTTTCCCATTTCTAAAAATGTATTTCTTCATAAAATTCATTAGTAAGAATGAATACAATACAATGAATATTATATTGCCAATACAATATTAGGCAAGCTTAGTGGTTTCAAAGTTATAATTAATGTTTTTCAGGTAATTATCCCTAGAAAGTGCATGACAGAGTACATATATGTTTTAGATTTGTAACCAGGAGGGTAAATACATTCACATAATAATCCAAACCAAAAATCTAGTTATGAATTCACCTAATTGGCTGTGAAGGTCAAATCAAAACCAAAGCTAAAATTCTTATTTCATCTCAGACTGCAAGTGAAAGCAAAATCAAAACTAAAAAAAACAAACAAACTGTGATTAATTTTTGTTTCACTTTTAGTTTAGCAAACACACAGAGCAGCGTCACAGTTCTTTTCTTGAGTTGGGGAAGTTGCAAATATTTGCTTAAGATCTGTTAGTTTTTTTAGTGCTTTTGCTTTGAAGTAGTCATAATCATGCCTAATCAGGAAAAAAAAAAACCAAAACCTAGTGTGGGGCATCATTACAGTGAAATTCAAGGTACTGAAAGACTCATGTTGGGAACTGAAATTGGGGTGGAAAATGTCATGCTGCTGGTTGGTTAGTGGTGGTGGTGCAGACACTGCACCCACCTCCTTGCTCCCACTAGCAATAGCAGACTCATTGCTGCCAGGAAAGAAGGTTGGGGGCGGGGAGGAAGTGAACTTGCAGTTCTCCCTCTGCCCCCTCTCTCTCTCCTGCCAGAAGACCTGGCACCTGCCTTTCCAGCATACTTCATAATATTTGGCGTGCTGCAAAATGTGTATATGTCTGTAATGTGTTGTGTTTTCCTGCACAGTGATGACCCACTGTCAGGGAAAACACAGAAGAGAGACTAGGTAGCTACCAAGAGACTAGACAGCAAGTCAGAGACTTTCAGATGCTGCTGGCCCAAGACAGACAGCTCACAAAAGGCACAGATCACTTCACACACGGCCTTATATGTTGTTTCTGTGTCCCTCCCCCAGAGGACTGTGTTTGGAAGGGAACTCAGGGAAAGATCAGTCACTGGCCAGATACAGATATCAATATCAGAGCAGTCTTCCCCTGCTCCTTCTCAGTTTGTTTTCCGAGAGCCTGCCTTCTGAATCGAGTCAGACTTTTTAACGGGTCTCCCCACTGAGACCCATTAAGAGACCCCATTTTAATGGGTCTCTTAGGAAGGCCAAGGCAGAGATGGAACTGGGACTGGCTTCCCAGATTAAGAACAATAAAAAGTCCTTTTTTAAATACATAGGGGGTAAAAAGAAGGTCCCGGGTAATGTGGGGCCCTTGCAGGACGTGTTGGGAAATTTGGTCGTCACACCAGACGACAAAGCTAACGTGTTTAACGGTTTCTTTGCCTCCGTCTTCCTAAGTAGGGACCAGAACAGCCACCTCCCTGCTGGGCCCCCCTCGGGCCCCGGGGGAGGCACACCTGGGCCAAGGGTTAGCAAGGATTTAGTTAGGGAGCTTCTGGAGGGGCTGGACGTTTTCAAGTCAGCCGGTCCGGATGATCTCCACCCTAGAGTTCTAAAGGAACTGGCTGAGGTCATTGCAAGTCCCCTGGCACGGCTTTACGAGCACTCGTGGTGCTCTGGAGAGGTACCGGAGGACTGGAAGAGGGCCAACGTGGTTCCCATCTTCAAAAAAGGGAGGAAGGAGGACCCGGGAAACTATAGGCCAGTTAGTCTTACCTCGATCCTAGGCAAGCTGTTCGAGAAAATAATTCTGGCACACATCCAGGAGGGGCCAGCAGGGGACTGCATGCTTAGGGGCAACCAACATGGGTTCATCAGTGGCAGGTCCTGTCAGACCAACCTGGTGGCCTTTTACGATCAGATCACCAGATCATTAGATGCAGGGGTAGCAGTGGACATAGTCTTCCTGGACTTCCGGAAGGCTTTTGACACTGTCTCTCACCCCGTTCTCATTAAGAAACTGGGGGGCTGTGGCGTAGACACCCACACAGTCAAATGGGTCGCCAACTGGCTGGAGGGCCGCACCCAGAGGGTGGTAGTGGATGGGTCCTTCTCAACTTGGAAGAACGTGGGCAGTGGGGTTCCGCAGGGCTCGGTCCTCGGGCCTGCGCTGTTCAACATCTTCATCGGTGATTTGGACGAGGGGGTAAAAAGCACCCTGTTCAAATTTGCTGATGACACTAAGATGTGGGGGGACGTGGGCACACTAGAAGGAAGCAACAGGCTACAATCTGACCTAGACAGGTTACAAGGGTGGGTGGATGAGAATAGGATGGGTTTCAACACAGACAAGTGCAAGGTGATGCACCTGGGGAGGAACAACTGGCACCATACCTACAGGTTAGGGAACTCCCCTCTCGTCAGCACGGAGATGGAAAAGGATCTTGGAGTCATCACTGACTCCAAGATGAACATGGGCCGGCAGTGTGGGGAGGCAGTCAGGAAAGCCAACCGCACCTTGTCGTGCATCCACAGATGCATTTCAAGCAGGTCAAAAGAGGTGATCCTCCCCCCCTGTGCTGCACTGGTCAGGCTGCTGTTGGAGTACTGCGTCCAGTTCTGGGCGCTGCACTTCAAGAGGGATGTGGACAGCATTGAGAGGGTCCAGAGGAGGGCAACTCGCATGATCAGGGGACAGCAGGGCAGGCCCTATGAGGAGAGGCTTCCATTTCTCAAAATCTCTTGCTTCTGGAGAATCAGTCAGAAGCACAATTAGTGAAGAAGATGCAGTGTGATAAGTTGCCCTTGCCCATAGACTCATTGGTAAAATCATACTTTAGGGAAAGAGAATGTGGTTCAAGTAGTCGTGAATCAGATTTGCCTCAATCCGATTCTGAAATGGAACTAATAAGTAGTGCAAGCGATTCTACAGCTAGTGACAGTGTGGCACCTCCAGTTTCAATGACCTCAGTGAAAGAGAGTTAAACTGTTGAAGCAGATGAGTGGACAAGCACAGCATATCACACACAGTTTTGGGTGTGCTAAAATTAGTGTCAACGATTTTCAGCGCCTTTGTAATTTTTCTTAAAATTTAAACAAACAATGCAAGGGAAGTACATGCTATTGTGTATTGTCTTTTCATTTTTACAACTATTCCAATAAAATAATTTCTTTCCACAAAGCTTTGAATATAACATTTAAACCACATTAAGTGTACTGTATTTAATTTCCCCCCCCAAATATTTAAATTTCAAATACTTGTAGCTATTGGGACATGAAATTAACACGGGGCTACTTTTTTTTGGTTGTGTTTACTGAATAAAAGTCAAATAAACATGCTAAGTCAGATCACGCTCTATTTAGGGCATTGGAAAATTTTCCAACTCAACGTTTTCCAGAAAACCCACATCTCTGCCTAGGAGTCACAGTTTTGAAACTGATCAACAAAGTATTGGGGGAAGAGGAAGGGAGAATATTAAAAAACTGGAACTATAAAAGGTGTTAGGTAGAAGTGAGGAAAAAAAGATGAATTAGAAATAGACCACCTCAATAAGGACTTCATGTATGTATGCAAAACAATATGCAAGAGATGTAGGTATACACTTACCCTTCACTAAAATTGCAAAGCAAGCCACAGACATACAAAGACAGAGATAAAGCATGTTAACTGTAGTTCAATTTTAAATCTCAAAAAATAAAACAGACAAAGTAGACATCTAGTTAGGGGCAATAAAACCATTATAACTTATTCTTCCCTGAAATAAGTCCCTCCTCCCAACAGCAAAGCAAAAACAGTTAATTTAATTCTACTACCTTTTGATGTGTGTATATAAATGGCTTCATTTTTTAACCGCCCCACAAAAACAAAATTACAACATTTAAGCTGATCCTGTAAACAAAGAGATGTTAAGGGAACTATGATGCTGGCTAAAAAGGACTTCATCATGGATGCTACTTCTATGATGAAAATGTAAATATAATAATGACAAAGTAATGTCTCCAATTATATTTGATTGGCCAATGTCAAAGCAGAATTATATTTGCAAGCATTAGTCACAGGATCTTAAAAACAAAGGATGAAAGTTATTGTTTGCATGGTCAGCAAAATGTAAAGGAAAGTAAACCAAGGCCCCTGGCAGACATTGCACTTAGTAACCCAGCCACATGTTCAAGCAATTAATGGTGTGATAAAACAGGGAATAAGACACAAAGTTATTAGCCAAAAGTATGTATAGCAATTTTGTGGCTGAATGCCACCATACACATTGAAGGTGTAAGCAGGGTTGATCAGCTAATTGGGCTCCTAGTCTCAGAATCATACCAGAGCCCTTGACTCCAATGCATCCTGGAGGCTAGGAGCCCCAATCAGCTGACTGGCTCGCTTTTTTGCTGATGCAGGGGGAGCCTGGGATCATGATCTTGGGCTCCCTCTGCAACAGCAATATGGCATGATTGGGATCTGATCCCCCATTCCAAAATTGTGCCTCTTGCCATGCATGTATAAGCATGGCAAAAGGCATGATTGTTGGGATCACAGGTCAGATCCCATCACTCCTTTAACTGACTGTCTGCCAGGGGCCTAAGTACTATACGTTGTGGAACCTCAGCATTGTTTCTTCAATTTATGCCATGTCTATCTTGATCTAACAATGATAACATGTACAGAGATAAGCAGAAAGAAATCCTGCCAGTCTCCCAAAGGTCCAATTTAGAGATTACCTACCCTATCCTCATAAAAACACAGACTATTTCCCTTTTCAGTACTCTTCCAGAGTTACCACATTTAAATTCTCTCTAGTACCCAGGGGAATTAAAGAAAACCAATGTTCTAGTGGTGCTCTTGAAGATAGGAGCAAGTGTTAGCTCTATCCCACTTGCTCTTGCATGGAGGGGTAAAAAGAGGAAAGAACTAGATGCTGGCTGGGCTTGTGATCAGTCTTACTTTTGGCTTGGTAAACTGTGTTTTGTGTAAAGACCACACTGTTTTTTGTGCATACCTATTGCCAGGTTTTTTTCCTTCCAAGGAGTTTAGATGTTGCTCGAGAGTCTCCATGAGACTGCTGGGAGCCTTGAAATAGAAAGAGAAACCATGGTGTACATTTTCTTTTTAGATGCATGACATGATTGGATCCTTAAGGTTATAAAATCATTTTAATTTCTTCCCTGAACTATTATTAACCAATTATCTGCATGCTTATGAATCCACACCCTTGTGTAAAAGAAAGTGCATTTCCATGCTAGAAATAAATCAATGCAAGAAAGCAATTTTGTTTGAATTACTGAAGTACATACTCACAAAAATTACAGCCATCTTTTTTTTTTTTTACTAGGTAGCACTCTTAGTTGAAGAGTATGCTCATCATGCTTTGAGACCGTGCGTTTTTGACATTAAACAGCAGCACAGGCATCCAGAGGTTACATTTTAAAAACTAAAACAAAACAAACTAAACAACCTCTCACAGTGCGAACTCTTATTCATTTGAGTTCCTGGTCACATTAGCTTTTAGCTAAATCATTCCATCTTCATTTGTGACTAATTGCTCAAGTTGCAATATTAATTGATAAACAAAAAGAAAGTGTAAATTGAGAAACATTCTGGCTTCATTATATTTTTAAAATACTCTTTTTAAAATCTGACCACTTTCATGTAAAATCATTAGGTTTTACAGTTCTTGACTGCTCCTAAATTAGTAAAAAAGTAAATAAAATAAGTCAAATTTAAATTAGCTGAAGTTAGGCAGCTACAGATCTTTGGAAACAAAATTATGCTTTTTTTTGGTAAACTGTTTGATTGGGGGAAGGGTAGAAAAGAAAAAAAATATTTTTGTAGCCAGGTAAAATCCCTAGGTATGCACTTGCTGTTGTTACAATGGTGGTTAAATGTAGAGAGAGAAAGAAAAAAAAAAACAAACAAGTGACACCATCCTTAGGTACACCAGTATTAAAAAATGGTGCCCAGAAAAGTAGATTTTCATAAGATCAACAAGCAAAGAGGAAACCCTTTAAAGCTACAATAGTAAAGAACAACAGTATTTTATTCGAGTTACCGGTTCATCAATGGTACAGTCTTTAAAAGGGGAATTTTCATTATCAGTGTCTTTCAGATCAACCAGAACTCTTGACAGCAATACCTATGGTGTTTTTCATAAATAATGTCTTTAATCTTACAGTAAGTACACACATCAAATATCAAAGTCAATTTGTCATGCTTGACACCAAAACTGAACGGCTATTGCCAATATATGCATATTTACTGAGCAACTCTGGAGTGTCCAACTAAAAAAAAATTCAGGACATGTTTACATTGCATCACCAATCTAAAGTGGGAAATTTAGTAGGTAACTTAAGATACATGAATTATTACATAATAAAATTCCTGTTATAACAATCTAGCCAGTATATAAAAGTTGGTATTTAGAGTTCTTTAAAAATTACGCAACGTAACTCCAATATAGAATACAAAACATGAAGCATTTGGCTTTACATCACTTTCCCATTAAAATCAGTCATTGAGTTTAATATTCAAACACAAGTAAGTTGAGTGATACTTTAGAGGTATTCAAACATTTAATGTTGCATGTATATTTTCCCCATACTCACCCATGCTCTCATATATAACCTCATTAAAGGAATACAGTTCCTAGAACTTACCAGTAGTGAGAATACAGGACCTCTCAAAAATTTAAGGCTTCCCTCCTTCCTGATCATGTCTTTGTGACAAGGTATTTAGCAGAATTCACAGATTCACTAAAATCTGACAGGGCTGCACCATGAGTGCTTCTGCTTTGGCCTTGAACTAGCAACTTCTGGGCTTCAACCACACACTATTACCTGCACCACCCCCAACCTCCTTCCCCTCTCCATAAAGGTTTGCTAAAAAGCAAAAAGGACTTAAGCTTTACATATTTGTTTTTGTCTAAGTTATTCATTGGTGGTACACAGCAATAAATTTTATGGCCATGGAGAACAGTGAGGGGGCATCGTAGATTTTGTGGCACAGTGGGTGCATCTACATGAGCGACTAATCTAATGAAAAGCTACGGTACAGTTTGCACTGGAGTCAGCTTCTCCTGGATGCAGCGTTTATATATTTGCCCAGGACTGCAGCAGTTAGAGACAAGGCAGAGCAGCCCTGGGCTGGCAGGGGACCTGGGGGATCATCCCTAGGCTCCAGGTGGTGGCATTAGGTGGTGCTGGGGCATGAGGGTACTACAGTGCAGAGCTAGCCGGCAAGCAGCCCCCACACTTTAGCACCCTCATGCCCCAGCCAGTTCCTGGCATAGACTACACATCTAAGGACTCCACCATAAGATCGTACTGTCCCCAATAGTATTATCTTACAGTGGAGTTAATTAATGTACCTCACTCTAATACCAGCACACATGTAGACTATGACACTTTACTGCAGAGCTAATTAGTCTATTCCACAGTAAAGCATGTGTGTGGCTACACCCAGTTTTTACTTATCTATGCTCTCAGTAACATTTCCATTTTCTATCTACAGACATTTTCTATTTCTATTTTCTATCTATTAGATTATCTTTATGAGAATTTAAACTTGCCAATATACAATCCACAGTATATGTACTGCACTAGCTTTTTAAAAGCTAAACAAGAAAGTATTTATCTAGCCAGAGCAGACTATTTTAGTCCTGAACCTATTTCTGTAGGAGTTCCAAGATTTCAGAAGGATTTTACTCTCACATTGAAAATGTGTTGACAATAAAGGTCTAGCAGCATCCTACCAACACTCACTTACTATTTAGGAACTCTTAAGGCGGTTAAAAATATATCCAAAAGCTACCTTGGTTACTGAATAGTGAGCATAATAAACCCCACCAAATCTTGGGGATCGGGGGATGTTCATGGAGCATCAGGTAGATGTTCTTGTGTTTGCTGTACTGATATGGCATGTTTGGTCTCACTGAAAAGCCAATGTTATACTGTATCTATTTCTGTCACTTATCACCGCACAGATTACATTATGCTGCCTGTATATACTTTTTGATGTGGTTTTGGACATGGTTTAGTAAAAAGAGCCAAGGAAAGCACAGTTAAGGAAAAGGTAATAGGCAAAACTGTTAAGTATCTTTTGCCATTGTGCTCTGGGACAAGGGCAATTCCCACTCCCAATCACAGACAGAAGGGGTCACTAGTGGGATAGGTATGCAAGTTATACTTGCAATGGGGAAAAAATTGCACAACAGCAGAAAGGTGCTCCAGGTACCATGAAGAGGCAAGAAAGATCTGGAGAATCCTGTGAGGAAGTAGAACCATGATGAATGGGGAGGGTGGGGGCTGGCTTGGAGGTATTTTAAGGGCCATCTGTGAGATGTCTTCAGGCTACCCACAGGCTTTAGAGTCCAGGTCCCCATCAGTCAGGGCTGGTAGGATCAGCAGGAAGGCTAACCTCTGAAAGTAATGGCAGGTCTCTCTGAAGAACTAGGCAGTAGTCAGATGAGAGGCTAAATTTGTCTTTTTGTTTTGTTTTCAAACTTATGGACAGTTTCTTTTGTATAATTATTTTCTCCTATATATAAAAGCCTTCTGCTGTTTTAACTCTTTACTACAGGCAATCAAAAAAAGAGACATCTCTGGGCAAATGGTATTTCAAGCTAACAAGGGGACCTATTTTTTTTTTTTTTTTAAACCCAAAGGGAAGCCACTTGTAACTTGCAGAAATTCCCCTGCTCCAGCCATGAGGCCAAGTAAAAGGGAGTGGAGTGCAGGCTTGTGGGGATAAGAAGGTATCCCAGGATAAACCTCAATCTGTTCCTTGGTACAAGCAATGGGACAGTGAAGAGAAACTCAAAACTCAGGGGGTACCCTGCAGACAGGTTTGTCACAGTGAGATTCATCTTTGGTGGAACCTTGGTAATAGGGTCCCTTCCCTCCCCCACCACCACTCAAGTCTTCCTTAGCGGTCCCCCTCCAGCCAAGAAGCACTGCATTATTAGTTGTCCAACAAGTAACACTCAAATTCCCTAGCAGCTAAAGATACCCATTTCAAATTTCCAGTGACTTCTTTATGAACCCAAGTGATTAAAAAGCTAAAACCAAGCTACAGAAAGAGTTAACTCTGAGGATTGATGCTTTCCAATTCTAGAAACAAATACCAAGCTGAATGGTGGTTAGTAATGTGAGCATACAAGTGACAATGAATGAGTCAGAGTGACTTCATTAATCCTAGGGTTGCTAAAAAAACAATAAAACTCAGCAAATATTTATTCCCAGTGTCCCTAAATCCTCAAGTAAGAAGTCCCAAAGGATTGTAAAGGGTTAGTAAGGCCCTTATTTTAAGCAGGAAAAAGAGGAGGGCCTACATAGTTTAGACCAGTCAGCCTACCTTTGATATCAGTGAAGAGTTATTACAGAAAACTAAGATTCATTTGTAAATACCTGAAGTGATCATCACCAGCCAACATGGAGGTGAAAAAACTGGTTTATCATGAGCTGTTAATGAATCTAGTTAGGTAGCTGATTTGGTGGATAAGGAGATACAGTAGACATAAAAATAAACTTAGTCTTTAGTAAGAGTTCTGACAGTCCTACATTATTCCATCTTAAGAGAATGACTATTATAGGTGGGGCCATTCTGGGGAGGTGGGGGGGGGCAATCAGGGAGACTGCCCTGGGCCCAACTCTTTGGGGGACCCCATGGAGCAGCAGTGACACAGAGCTGGGTGGAGCAGTGGCTCTGCATCCAGCCACTTGCTACCCACCCCTCTCCTGCCACTACCACTGCTGCCAATGGTGGTGGCAGCTTCTTCAGGTCCAGGGCCCTGCATGGGCTGACTTGGCCCAGGCCGTGCACCCTGCTCAGGTCACCTCTGATTATAGGAATATATAAAGTAGTTGAATAATCACAAGCAAACTATTAAGTGGACTGATGTCAGACTTGTAAGCAGGGTTATATAAGGTCTGTTCTGGATTCAGTTCTTTTTAACACTTTATTAAATGACTTAGGTGCAGGGATAGAAAGCATACTGACTAGACATGAAACTAGGAGGGATTGTGAAGATTTTGGAGGGCAGGATTAAATTCTGAAGGCATCCTGATAGAAATCAGAATTATCGAAGAATAAAAATAAATTAAATTTCAACACACGAAAGAAAAAGGCAAATGCACTAATTCAGAATGGGGGGGAATAGCTGGCTTTGCAGTAGTGCTTCTGAAAAGGATCAAGAGGTATAATGGATCACAAATTCCACATAACTTTGCTGCTTCATGCACTTGCTTACCTCATGACAACTTTGGGTAACACTAATAGAAGTACTGTATGTGAGTCATGGGAGGTGATATTACTACTACTTGGCTCCAACGTGTCTGCAGCTATCCAGTTAAAGCCATATTTTAAGAAAGATTATAGAAACTGGTGTGATTCCAGAGGTAAAACAGAGATAAGGGGTTGTAATGCAAGCCATGATAGACTGGAGGAGGGAGGGGGCAGAATAAAAAGAAACAGAGAGATAGTTTGCTTTATAGAAAAGGAGATGGAACAGGATGGGGAGAAAAAACTGTCTCATTCTCCCATGGGAAAAAGGGAAAGTGTGATAATGAGCGTTTGTATTACAGAAAAAGTATTTCAGGCTCGTTTAAAAAAAACAAAAACAAAAAAACAAAACAAAACAGAAAAACAAACAAAAAAAACCACACACACACATTTCCCAACTAGACTAAGAGAACAATGGAACAAGTTTTAGAATCTTCTTCACCAAAGGTTTGCAAGAAGAGAGGCTGGCCAGGAATCTGGCTGGGATTGTTTAGGAATAGCAAACTCTGCAGTCTGTGCAAGGGGTTGATAAAGGTTTCTGTTATCATAGGGAGGGACATTGGCCAGGTGCTCTCTCAAGAGTTTCCTCCTGCTATGCTAGTGCAACTGACAGTCTCTGTGCCCATGTACTCAACTTAAACATCTTTGGAACCAGATGTCAGGCAAAAGATGAATGGGTAACCCTGACTTACGGCCTGCACTTTGTTAGAGATGGTCGAGATGTGGCATGCTGCCTTTTTACAACTTTGGCTCTGCATGTTCAGTGCTCCTGGACAAGGTGTTCACACAGTCTTGGCTTTCTAGAAGGCTTCAGAAGCTTAACGACACTGAGGAACATATTCAAAATGAGTGCTCTTCAATGCTGGGGCTTCCAATGAACTCTAGCAGCCATAGCTCAGCTTAGGCTCCTGCCATAAAAAAGGCTAATTCAAGAGCAAGACATTTAATACAGTATGAATCTAAACAGAGTTTTACCTAGTAAACTAACTGGAATAAATAAAAAAAACCCAAACTGTATTCTGCTGAAGACCCAATTATAAATAATTGCTTGCAGACGATAGGAATATGTTGTTCCTCACAATGTATTAGCAAGTCTTTTTGTATCCATATAAATATTTAATTGCCACTGAGTTTGGTCAACTTTATGCCACTTGACAAAGGGCAATATTAAATTGGAAATCTAAAAGATGGTATTCAACTGTTCTATTTTCAATAACGAAAGTTACATGTAAAGCTCAACACAAAAAAGGCAGTCAAAAAAAAAAAGCTGAAAATATTTAGTGATACTATTAAATATCTTTAAAATGGCACAATAACTTTTCCAGTTATTGTAAGGTGGTTAGCCCCACCAAAAGCATTTGGGCCACCTAACCATTAGTATTAAAGAAAGGAAGGGGAAAAAAATAAAAACTTGCTGCTTTTAGTCAGACTAGAGATATGATAACAGTTACTTTTAACATACCCTTATGTATCATTATAGCAGCCCTAATCTTTTCTGCATTTCTGGACCAAAACTGTTAGAGGTGATTATTTTGTAATAGACAGAAAACAAAAGCTGTTTAGGGCTAAATGTACATACTGTAATTATGATCACAGCTTCTGGACTCTATTTACACTTGCAAAAGAAAGAAAAATGGGGAGCACTTTTTTGTTATCTAATGACTACTTTTAAGTCCATGAATCGTGATGAAATTGGTCTACTGGGATCAAGTGACAGGCTAAGATCAGTCTGCCAAAGAGGTTGATAGACTGTAAGTTCCTTCTTTTTGCATTTGAAAAAACATTTCAAGGGGTTTACACTACAAGGTTGCCTGTGAACTATCAGACTTCTGTCTGGTGCTGTTTTAGTTTAGTCCTCACTACAGGAGTTTAAAAGCAACATGCAAGAAAACTTACTTGCGTGAGATCAGGAATATCCCCTTTGTCGATTCCAATTTGCTGTGGATAAAAGAAAAAAAAGTTAAAAATAGATTTGAGAAGCCAATATTCATACATCTCAACAGACATATAGATGTTACTAAAATCACAAGTTTCTTTTTCAGCTATATTGCCCATGAGAAAATTTTATTTTTAAGTTATGAAGAGTTTAGTCTATTTACAGAAATTATTCCACCATCCTCAAAATACTGCAGCACTCCTTTCACAAAGAAAGGAGTCCAAGAGAGCTGTGTTAGCTAGCTGGAGTAGGAGCCACACAGGGGCTAACTGAATGCAGATCTTAAAGGTTTTACAGAAGTAGTGAAGGAGGTCCTGCATAGGTTAAGCCTCTTTAGCTTATCAGAGATCTTCCTATTTTCCTACTTCCCAGCCTTTTGGCATGTGCATGGGGCAGGACATGCAATTCCTGGATTGAGGATTAGGTTCCTATCACACCTTGCTTATCAGCACAGGGGAAGCCTGAGATCATGATTATGGGCTCTCCCTGTACCAGCAAGTTAAAATCCAGGTGCTGACAATTAACTTTGTTTGTTGGGACTAGGGTTCAAACCAGAATCTGAAAAGTCATCAAAATCCCAACTGAAGGTTCAGCTCTGACTTGTGGGGCATGGAAATCCTGGGATCAGGTTGCTGCAGTCCAATCCTGGGGACCCCATGCCCCTGGGGCAGAGTTAAAACCCTGTGTGCCACTTATCTGGGTAGCAAACTGAGTTCTAAAGATCCTGGTGCACAGGAACCCTGGGACAGCTGTGTCCCTGGCCCTTGGGCTGTCTCATGCTGGAACTTGACATGAAGCTGGGCATCAGGATCTGTCAGGGGCTAGTCTCAGTTGGCCACACATTCAACTTAAGGCTTAGATACATGCCACAAAGTTGTTGTGCATTTTGTGTATCAACTTTATTCACTAATTGTATTATCACACCCTAAAATTGATTTTAAGATGTGGGTGGGTTACTATTTATGATGTGATTAACCCGTTCACAGAGTCACAAATGTAGCACACGAATGAGAGCAAGAGTGAATATTCAATAACTGCTAGCATCTTATTCCTGTGATCTTGTTGCCAACAACCTTTGGCTTAGTTTTTAAAACATCTGCTCATTGTTTTGAGGGTGAGGTTTTTCAAGATATTTGAAGCTACTTGCTTGGTCTGACAAATATCATCTCCCTTCCTAAACCCACTACTTAAAAGAAAGATTACAAGAGCTTTTAAAAAAAAACCCAAAAAACCAGTGCATGTAGCAGGAGGTTTTTACTATGGACTGTCATGCTTACTTGTCTGCTCCTAAACACCCTTGCACTACAAGCTTATCTGCAGGTATCATAAAACCATAGAAAAATCAGGGTTGGAAGAGACCTCTGGAAATCATCTAGTCCAACCTCCTGCTCAAAGAAGGACCATCCCCAACTAGATCATTCCAGCCAGGGCTGTTGAGCCGAGCCTTAAAAGCCTCCAAAGATGGAGATTCCACCACTTCTCTAAGTAACCCGTTCCATTGCTTCACCACCTTCCTACTAAGAAAGTTTTTGCTAATATCCAACCTAAACTTCCTGTGTTGCAACTTGAGACCATTGCTCCTTGTTCTGTCATCTGCCACCACAGAGAACTGCATTGTATCTCTATAAACAGTATTTTCCAGTTCTCAGTTCTATACCCTCTCCAGGCTTCCATTCAAAGTCACATCAACTAGCAGTACATACTTGAGTGGCTATACCAGAAGCAGCAGGATAACTAGGGTGGGTGACTGGGGTAGGTGTCCTGGGCACTGACTTTGAGGGGCAGAAAGAAGGCTGCAACTACCGCTGCACAATTGTGCCACTGGTGTGCAGACAACTGCAAGTTGCTGCTTCCCAAGGAACCCAGCCATATTGTTACACATCTGATGAAAGCCAAGTCAAATCCTTCTCTTCTGCAGCCAGGAGAAAATGTCCTAACCACCTGGAGATAGGATGGAGAATGCCTGCCTATCTGTTAATAAGCAGAGCCAATATGCAGAGAGAAATGCAACAGTCTGCATGAAGTTAAAAGGTACCTCCAAAGAGGAGTATACCTCCTCTGCTCAGGCCTGTAGGAGGGCTGTCAGGAAAGCTAAGGCAGACATAGAGCTAGGACTAGCGTCCAAAATCAAAGATAACAAAAAGTCCTTTCAAATATATAGGAAGGATGAAGAAAGCACCAGGAAATGTGGGGCCCCTGCAAGATCCTCTGGGCAATCTGGTGGTTGCGCCAGAGGAGAAAGCAGACCTCTTTAACCAATTCTTCACCTCCATTTTCTTGTGCAGGGACTGGAACTTCCCCGCTATGATGCAAGACGAACTCGAAGGGAATGCCTCCAGACCTCAGGTTGGGGAGGACCGGGTTAGAGAGCTTCTGGAGGGGCTGGACGTGTTCAGATCAGTGGGTCCAGATGCTCTCCACCCCAGGGTGTTGAGGGAGCTAGCAGGGGTTATTGCAGGGCCCTTGGCATGGCTTTATGAGCGCTC